CACCTCAAGAAGCACGAATATATTAAAAAAAAATAGTTGAAGTTCCTCCATATGTTGCCATGTAACTTTGGCTGATGAGGTTCCCTGCCTCATGTGCTGTCTGAGGCTGAAGTGTTCTCGTATGTCTGGTATCATAGTATGAAAGAATGGTTTGCGTTGGAAGGAACCTTAAACACCATTTAGATTCAACCTCCTGCAGTGGGCAGAGACACTTCCTGCTCATCCAGGTTGCTTAAAGACACATCCAACCTGCCCTTGAATACCTCCAGAGATGGGCATCCGCAGCTTTTCTGCACAGCATGTGCCATTGCCTCACCACACTATGAGTAAAGAATTTGTTCCTAAAATGTAATCTGTATCATCTACCCTGTTTTTGTTTAAAACCATTAAACCTTTTCCTATCACTACAGACCCCAGTAAAAATCTTTCTTATAAGCTCCTTTAAGTTTTGAAAGACCACTGTGAAGTCTCCCCTGAGAGAGCCTCTTCTCTAGGCTGAACAAGACCAGCTCCGTTAGCCTTTCTTGGAGGGAGATTCTCTAGTCCTCCAATCATCCTTGTGGCTTCCTCTGGACACACTCCAACACTCTCATGTCTTTCTTGTGCTGTGGACACCAGAGCTGTATGCTATGGTAACATTTAACTGCCTTCTTGTGTATTTTTATAATTAATTCTAATACTAAAGCAATTTGCATTTCTGGATTCCTCAGCAAGATGATTGAAAGGTGATTTAATTGTACAGCACTGCCAAGGTGATTGTTGGCTATAGCATGAGTTAATGTGGAGGTAATAGGAGATATCACAGGGACTAAGATTTTTCTGGCCATTAGCAAAGGTGACTTCAAAAAGCAAACGATAATTAGCATGGGTTTCACTGAACCAAGTTTCCATCTGCTGCTATTCACTGGATTTTGAGCTGCTCCCCTTTGCTCTCCTATTAAAGATTTGCATGTATTTTCTTGTGTTCCCAGCGAAAAGGACACTTAGGGGAAAAGGATATAAATCAACAAATAACAATGTAACCTGCAGAAATATAAATCTATGTAGATTAATCCATGTTTCCTAAATTGCATACTGGATTGTAATTCAATCAAAGGGTATGGGTCTTGTGACGTTTATGAACATTTATGGATAGCATGAGTGCTCAGATTAAAATGTCAAACCTGGTATTCAGTTTAGAATCACATATTATTGTTGCTCATTAATATATAAAAACAACAATTATATCCACTGAAATCCTCAATTTAATTTTGTTGTAATCTGTCTGCTTTGTCAGAGATGCAGTGTAGCCTCTCTGCCCCCTCAGATCGTTTTCAGGGCTCCACTGAATTTCAGATGGAAGTCTCCCATTCCACTGTTTTTTTGCAGCACAGCACTGGTTCAGTTTGGCCTCCTTTGAACTGAGGGGTTCTGTACTAACTAAATTATTGTCTTCATCCACCACTGGGACTGAATTGTAGTTCATATACAGAGAAGGTAAAGTGCCTCCAGGAGGAGAGGTATGGCCAGACTCTGCGTCTTAGATTCAATATGCTTGGTAGGTGGCATGTGATAAAGCTCTCCCCTTTGCCACTTCCGTATTGGTAAAGAGTGAAATTATTTTGAGGTAAAAACACTCCGGTTGGAATTATCTGAATCCATCTGCAGTTCTTCCTGTTTGAAGTGGTCCATAATTTATAAAGCTGTTGAATGAATAACATTTCTCATCTTGGTAGTGATACGTCTGAGAGATCCTGAATCGTTTTCACAAATGGAGCAGAATTGCTGTTCTGATGGCTAACTGAAGCCATTTAGTGAATAAATTGCTAGAAGCAACTAGATTCGAATTTCAGAAAGAACTCTGGCAGCTAAGATGTTAATTCCCTTGAAAGCAAGTGGTACTTGTGCTAACAAAGGTTAAAAAATTTCAAGTCCTCAGGTGGTTTACAGCCAAAATTGTACCAACTTCCACTAAAATTTGGCATGAACGCCTAAGTCTCCTTGAAAATTATATTTAGATTCATAAATCAATTACCTGCTTACATAGCATAACTAATATGACTGGATTTTACCATCTAACTATCCATAAGTAGAAATTCTTCAGCATTTAGGAGACTAATTCTTAATAAAATCCTTGAGAGATTCCTAAATATCCTTAAGGTTTATGTCTTATTTGTCTTTTTGCCTTTGTGATTTAAATGGCATATATTCACACAGCTGAGAAAGTGGGCAGAGTCTGCCCACAATGAATCAAGATCAGATTTAAGATTAGCCGCTGGCTATCCTGTCCAATGGCCAAAACAGCTTCCAAGTAATAATGATTAATTAACACTAGGAATTGAATATGAAAAAGATCAGTGGATTCCTTTTGTCTACCCCATGAAATAGAGCAATACTGGGTGGAAAACAAATGGCAGAGAGACTGGTACTTATTCTGCCTATAGTACAGAGAACTAAGAAAAATAGCCAGCTTTCTCATACTTCATTTTTTATGTATTATGCAATAGTATACATTGAAGAAATCCACTGTGTTAATATAATGTAATTAGGTTAAGTATGTCTCTTGTGACAAACAGTGTCGTATGATGAAAAGTTTCAACCCAGCATTTTAATGGTTCAGGTTCTGCTCATGGTTTCAATTAAGTCTGAAAGATTGCACGGGGCACTGAGAAGAGAATTTGGCCCACTTATCTCCAGCATACGTGTGCTACAGTTATCTAACCTGGAACGAAACATGGTTTCCTCAGACACATTTTGTTTTTCAAATACTTTACATGGAAAGTTTTGGGGCTTTTTAATATATTTAAAAAAAAAACAAAACAACTTGTAATCAAGTATCTAAACCAATTACGATCATTTAAAAAGTTATGGTGTTTCAGTTCTGGTGATTTGCCAGATTCTGGTTTGCAGATTCCAGTATGTTCTGCTTGTCCAGGCTTACCCTACAGTTTTAATTGGGTATGACAGTCTTGTTCATTCCTTACAGCAAAATCTATGGTAATGTTGGTGTAAGTCATTACTCAGCACCTCCAGAGTCTCAGGCCATAATTTGTAGAATTCTTTGGCATCCTTGTTTTTAAAGTTGCTTGACGCTTTTCCTTAAGAGAACTTGTTTTATATCGCTTATAATACAGCCAAAGTCTAACCACTGGGCTGAAATTTTCCATTCTGTGTTTTTTTTTCCCATGCTGGATGCCTCCCACTTTTTCTTATTATTTTTTTTTCTATTTTCTTTTCTTTTTTTTTTTTTTTCTTTTTTGCTCTGGGACTCCAAGGCACATTCTTTGGCTCAGACCTCTTGTCTAAGGTTCTTCCATGGTGCAGCTCACTGTCCCAGCTGCCCAAAACCCTGAAAAAATTAATTCCCGGCTACCAGCCACTGCAGTCCTTTTCATACAGTTGTATCTGTGGGTTTAATGTTTAAATCTCCAGGAGCATTCTAAAAGGCAAATAAGGGATTCATGCTTAGCAAAGCAGGGTTTTTTCCACCAGAATTTCCCTGTTAATTTTCATCAGTTATGGATTTTTGAAAATTAACAGTGATGTGCTCTCCCCCATGCTGACCATGTCCATCTTATTCCATCTTGGGGCACTTCAGCTTTTCAGTGGGCAGCATCCATCTTCTCATCTGTCTCATGCAAATCTTTCATATGCACGCAAATAATCAGTTCCCTCTTCTTCAAAAAGAAATTTTGCAGTCAAATAGGGCCTCTCTGGATGGCCTATCCAATAAATGCTATAAGCATCTTGTTTGCTGCCTTGCAGTTCTTATGATTCTCTCTGTTCTTTGCTGTATTTCTTCTACCACCACTGCTGGATGACCTAACATGAGATAAGCATACATGCTTTCTCTAGCATTCACCTCTAACACGCCCATAATTCCCACAAATAATAGCTACAGCTCCGAAGAAATTTTCTACTTGCCTTCCTTCTTTCTCTCCTGTGGCAGCTCCTCCTTTTTCTTCACTATCTCAACTTAGGTTTGTACTTCTGTGAATATTTTTAATTGCTTTGAGTAATGAGCTAATCTCCTTGTAATTGGCAGGAGACGATAGACGAGGGCCACGGCTTGACTTAAGTACTAGAGTGCACCATAAGGATCCCATGGTCTTTATGCACTGTGCTCCTGGTACCCTGCTCAGCAATCTGTTGGAGAATGCCGTCTGCTCTGACTGCCGGAATTTCTTTCAGCTTGGAAGGCAGAACCAGACTGATTCGTAGCCTTTGTCAAATAGGAGTGTATCTTCTTGTTACAATTCAGAGCATTAGGCTTTGATTCATTTTGTCCATTGCTTCATCCCGTGTTAATATGTTTTGCACAGTTGTTGGCAGTAAAGCTTAGATATTCCTTTGTAGGCTTTGGAAACCAGACCTTTCGTCTACCGGAAGTTTGCAATCCCTTAGCCTTTCTGTTTTGATGCATCCGTTCTCTTCTTGGGGGTCTCAGGGTGACAGATCTGTCAAGTCCAAAAGATACTGTGTTGACAGAAGGAACTAAGACAACACAATTTTCCTGTGCAGCTATCAGCTGTAATGTAAGCATCCTCAGCCCTAATAATATGCCTAACCCCTCTTCTGTGAAGGTCAGGATCAAGAAGACGAGTTCTGTTTTAGAGTCCTGTATCATCTGGCATGGCTGCTAAGAAGGATGCCGTTCAAATCTGGCAGTGTTTTTGTGATAAGAGCATTTGTCCATAGGAGCCACAAGCCTATTTCACGGAGGCTGTTGAACAGCCACCAGAGGATATTTAGTCTCTGCTGGCTTGGAATTATCCCAGGACTGAAAAACTCCTTGGCCATTGCCAGTTTTCTCAGCTATATAGTTTTGGGGTCAGGTAATTTCAAAACTTCCAAGATTTATGCAGTTTAAAATTTTTAAACACTTTTTTTTTTTTTTTCTCTCCTGTGGGAACTGCTACCATCTGTGAGGCTCCTCGATCCCTCTTTTATTTCGGTATCATTTAAAGTGCTTATTATCACTTAATTTCATCATTTCCTTTTTTTCTCTCTTTTCTTTACAGATCACTCACAGTCAATTTGTGGCCTTCCTCTGAAGGAACCTTTCCTGACTCCTGTGTAAGTATTTATTACCAAACATTTTATACCTTTATTGATTAAAGTTGTACATTTTGTTCAAGTTCCATTCAGATCAGTACAAAGCATTTGGGAACTCCTCTGTTGCTCCGTATGGCCACAAGATTCAGTACTGAGATGCTGTACTGATGCAGTAGCCTAGAATTTCAATGCAGCATCAGCTTCTGGGACTCAGGCTTAGTAACACTGTGATTGATTGATCTGGAATTGATACGTGCATTTTTGGCTGAGAGTATGTACATATCAATTTGGGGATATATTTGTTGTACAGAGTATTATGCTGTTGAACTCTGATAGTATATAGTAATCCATGCTGTGCAAGAGCTAGGTAAGTGTAAGAAACAGTCAGCTAACATTTCAACCCATCCCTGATGGATACTGTCATGGTGCCAAGGAGCCCTTCCTTATCCCACTTCAGTGTACCTTCCCATCTAGTAGTAATCTACACTTCTTATCTGGGTAGATTAAATACATTGCATTCACCTAACAGTATCAGAATTAAAAACTTGTTACTGGTTTATTGGAAAAATGTTATGTAGGGGTCTTTTCTTGCCTGTTCTCATTCACTGGGGTTTGGTTGCTGCTACGTAATTTGTCAGGGTAGTGGCTTTCTTTGTTGGAGAAAATACTACATAAATCCACGTAATTGTATTATTAAGACTTAGAACAGGAAGAATTAAAATTTTAATGGTTTGAGGTTTTTTGGTTGTTGTTTTCTTTGAGGGGAATAAGAGATTGAATTTTTGAGAGAGTTTGCTCTTTCCTTCTTTTTTAATTTGCCAAGCTCTAAGCCATGTGATGGTTTTGTGTACTTAGAACAAAAGTTTGCACTTTGCTGAGTCTTTAATACATATTGGCAATGAAATCTACTGTATTATAACAATGAAACTTTTTGTTGTGAGATAAGGGTAAATATAGCACTACCATATCATAATATTTACTATAATTAAGTAAAGACAGACCAAAGTTTTCCAGTCCGCCAGCCTATTAAGCACTGTTTTCAGGTATTTAAGCTGTATTTAGTGATTGCCAAAAACAATGAGGATTTTTTAATTTAGGATTAGAACTTCATGTCCAAATATGCCTGGACTTTGTGTTACCTCAGATCTCCATTTCACAATTTAAATTCATTCCTACAACCTGCTCAAAGAGGAAAGTAGATGGCTGTTAATATGCTGCCTGGAATTAAAGGAGAAAAACATAGCACAGGAAGAAAAATAGCTCTTTCATATTTGGAAGAGGAATTAAACCTGCAAATTTATGTTCAAGTCAAGTTCTGGTTGTTGAAATTTCTTCAAAGGAATGCTGAAGTGCAAAGGGATATTCTGATTTTTTTTCAGGTGTGTGCTGAAACAAAGAGCTTTCTTTTGCTGATAGAAAACCTAAATTATGTGTGTTTAACATTTAAAGGTGACTTGGTACTTTTGACATGCACAAAGAAATGGCACACTTGCTTCTCCCTCACCCTATGGGCACAAACATGAGCTATGCTTCAGTGACTGCCAAAGGTGGGATGACAATGCCAGCTACCACAGAGATGTATTTGAGCTGACCTCTCATGCCAGTGATGGCCCCATATTTCTTTCTGTTCCCCTTCTCCTTTCATTATAAGGTGTCCCAAATCTGTAATTTACAGCACGCTGTCCCCGTTGTGCTCTGATATATTTGCTGCAAATAAGTAGGAGTCTATGCGCGTGCATAGCTCCCCGTGGCAGTGTCAGGCCTGTGAGACGAGGGGAGCAGAGGCCCCTACAGAATACAACATGGCTTACGTCTAATGTGACATTTATTTGACTCAGAAAGGCAATTGATTAAAGTCCCATCAGACCTTTGCCATCATGTATTATGTATTTATCCAGCAGGGGCGGTTCATAACAGCCCCTGACAAATCCTATTATTTTTGTTGCAGAACTTCATAATATCGATAAAAACTGTTAATGATGCTCAGGGCCTCGAAGTGCGCGCTGCTTGTGTTAACACTTCCTGTAGCAGCAACGAGGCCCTTTATGTCTGTGGCAGGAACTGCGTGCCATCAGCTTTGGTACAAGCACATCAGTACCCATGCTCTGCCTCAGCAGCGTGAGGAACCGTGTACAAGTGTTTGGATGGAAGCAATGAACGAGCTTCATGTTGCATTTGCGCATGGAAATCCAGAGCCAAAATCCATCTCAGACAGTGCTTCGCTGTGTGACCACAAATAAACCATTTCTCTGATGTCTGCCTTTGTTTCTTAACCTGTAAAGCAAGACTTGCACACCTTCTTGCTCCTTTAAGTCAGGTTTATTCTACAGTTGAGGGCTTCTTTGTGCTTCTCCATTCTCAACTGAACAAGCTCTGTAGGATCCTCAATTTATTTCAGGCATGTGTGTAAGTTTGTCCTGTTTATACTGGCTCTCTCCTTTCTCTTAATAAGGTAGGTCCTTCAGGTCTCTGATCTTTTAAGTTCTTTTTCATAACAGAAAAAATCAAATTGGACATGTTTGCATTAGAAGCTGTTAATGGTACCTATCAAGCATGTTTCTGATCTGTAGATAATAGTGGATTTGTTCTGTATTCTGCCTCATTTCCCATTGCTTGACTTTCTTCACATATCTCTACCTACAACTTGATGATTATTCATTGTTCCTCCAGGTTATGTACCTGTCTGTTTATCTGTATGTCATCTGGTTTTCAGAGGTGGAGGGATTTCATGTTTCTCTCTCCTAGGCAGTATTCCCATTTAAGAGGAATATGATTAATTTCTGTTCCACTAGAATGTTTTCAGGAGTTTAAAAGAAGCAGGTGGATTCATTGTTGAAAATAGACCTTTTAATGGAAGAAAATCATCTAATCACTCTTGAGCCTTTCTATCATATTGTCTATGATGCATAACAGCTATTGACAATACGAAAGTGCTTTGCAGTAAGATAGATAGCTACTAAAAAGAGAGGATACTCTTTTTACTTCTTGAGCACTACCCATTCAGGTGGAACCCATACAGTATTGAAGAGTTATCCACTGTTAGCTTCGGGTAAGTGCTTGGAAGAAATGCCCCAGAGTGATCCAGATATAGAGAAGTTGCATGTCATGTTAACCTAATTCCATGAACATCTGTTCATTTCCTTGAAATAGGTTTCTGATGTAGCTGGGGTGAACTCCAACATTATTCCTATTAGATTCTGTGCTGATTCTGATTCTCTTGCTTTGATGTCCTGCTTTAAAAAAAAAAAAAAAAAAAAAAAAAAAAGCGCCATTTATTCTTCAGCTTCATGAAGACATATTCGGTCAAGTAATGATGACCTAAGGGAAGATGAGCAGCATCTTACTGATCTCATCATAGTTATGAGAACCATCCATCATATGATCAGCGATTCGTGTGTCAAAAGACACCCAGCAGTGTTCCAGCCTACCAGTTGGCAGTTTTTGAGAGTACGTATTCACTTTATCAGACATCGTGATACTTGAATAGTCTTTGCTATCTATATACATGTTCTTGCTGTTGGTACTTGTTCATCAGCAACTGTTATCTGTTAGCACTCTGAACCGTCATTGTGAAATATCTGCTAATTAGTAGCATCTGAACCCCTTTACTTGGTTTGTGTGCTTAGTGTTGTTTAGCGGATGAGGAACTTGAGAACAGCAACAGTGAACAGGAACAGGGAGGAGGCAGCTTTTCTGTTCTCAAGTTTCTTAAGAAGCTCTCTGTTACTTCAGAGGAGAATAATAACCTCCAGGTCAAGCTTATTCATGAATCAAAAATGAACATTTGCAAAATGCCAAAAAAAATCTAGATGTAATAAGCCTCATATTTACAACAGCTTTCAAGAGCTAGCATTTTTCAAGAATTATCATACTTAATGTAATAGATTGACATGCAAATTGTCCAGAAGAATCAGCTTATCCACTCAAGAAAATAAGGAGTTGTTCAAAGGGAATGGTCACCTACACAGCAATTTGAGACAGGAAAGGGATAGTACTTTCCCAGCTATTGTGTGCCTCCTGAAGAGAAGGAATTCTCCAAAAAAGAAAGAACATGAGCAAAGCCCCTATATTTGGCATTTGTAAGTGAGAGAAACGGTGAAACAAGCTAGAAATAGAAGTGGAGGATAAATTCCATTCTGCAGTGTTTATAGAAATCAAACTGTGTAACTGAGAATCACTCTGGGATGAATGTTCTTATACAAGTGCCAGAACTTCAACCTTGATTCTTTATCTGAAGACAACCATCAAATGGACTTAGGCAAAAGACTTGCATTAAAAAAAAAAGACTCTGATGAAGTTCATGGTTTTGTTCTAAAATATTTACATATTTAATAAAAATAGATTATATCCAGAAAATGGTAAAATTAGCTGGGAAGGGAAAAAAGGGCAAAATGTGGTGCAAGTTTTTTGTTTAAGCATTATTTTAAGTGTTAATGTTCAACTTAATTAACAAATAGTAGTGACTATCCATAGATGTGAAGCTTGTGTGTGGATTATGACAGGGGAATGTAAGCAAGCTGTCTGTAATTGCAGTGACTACAGAATATCCTCTGATGCTGAATGAGATTGAATCTGAGATTGGCTAGCGTGACAACTGAAAATGTCACCCTTTTCCGCAATTATGCTTATTGGAGATCCTTTTGTTCTGAGTTATTCTTCATCTAATTAGTGTAATATAATGTATTGAGTGCTAGCTTTCCTTGAAATGTAACAAATTCAACAGGTAACCACAGAAAAATTGGACTTTAAAATAGAAACTTCTGGAAGCATAGTATTTTAGGTTTAGCTAGAAAAAATGAAAGTGACAGAAAGAAAATGCAATTGGCCCGTGCACTTTTTCTTTTTTTAACTTCACATAGGCATCATTTAATCTATTTGGGTAGAAAAAAACACCTTACTGAAGCAGTAGCAGCACTGCCTACAGCAGTTTAAACATCAACCATCCAAATATTAAGACGGTCCAGTTTGTTAGGTCTGAAATCACTGTGCAAAATGGCACAGTGACAGACTGTGGCAGAGCTTTTCAGAATAATCTCTTTGCAGTTATGGTAAATTATCTTCCAACATGGGCAAGTGTGTTGCTGTTCTGCTGTTATACCATCACATCTCTCTCTTTTTTTTTTTTTTTTGGAAAAATGCTGTTAGTCCTTCTCCTTATCTGAAAATTCTCTTTGATGCACTGAACTTTAACATCATGCTGTTTACCTGTCTCCTTAAAATGTACAACAGATATAAGGCAGGAGAAAAAAAGTGCTAAAAGCAAGTAGCACTAAGGAGTGATTATTATGAAACCAGGTATCCAGAAATAGATGGTTTCCCAAAAGCCACCTCTTTATCAAAAGGTCATAAATTTGACTGTTGAGACTGTCACTGAAATACTAGTACTCACAGATGTCTAAATGCCAGAACAAGTCTCAAAATGTATGCTAAATATCCTATGTATAGGACACCATGATTGAAAATGAGCTTTTCAGAGTATCTCATGCATTTCCTTATTCTCTCCAACTCTCACTTAAAAAACAAATGTAAGCCATCTACCAGACGTTTTCCTGTGGGCCATTGCACAGCTGTACATGTCAAAACATAGAATCGTAGAATCCTTGGAGTTGGAAGGGACCTTTAAAGGTCATCTGGTCCAGCTTCCCTGCAATGAACAGGAACACGCACAGCTAGATCAGGTTGCCCAGAGACTGATCCAGCCTTGCCTTGAATGTCTCCAGGAGCAGGGCATCCAGTACATCTGTGGGCAGCCTGTTCCAGTGCCTCACCAACCTCCCTGTAAGAGACCATTTCCTTATATCTAACCTAAATCTACCCTCTTTAAGTTTGAAGCTATTTCCCCTTGTTCTATCACCGCAGACCTTGATGAAGACTCTGTCCCATTCTTCCTTATTAGCTCCTCTTTAGATACTGAAAGGCCACTCATGGAAGACCACTGATTAGTCTTCAGGCCATGCTTCGTGAAGGCTAGTTTACCTCTTGATGGGAATGGGAAACCTTACATATAAAAGATTCATAGCATATTAAGAAATAATGTTTTCTTCCTCTGAAGTTCTTGCTCGCTGTTCTTGCTCGCTGCTGCATCCATCATTTTGGATAATATCATGCTGAATATAATTCACAAATAGAGCCCCCCAGGTAATATTTTCATATGTCTGTGTGCTCAAAGTATTAGACTTTTGACACAACTGAAAACAAATGCTTTTGGATTTTAATAGGTCTTGCTCTCCTCTTTCACCAGATTGAGTTTTAAATTTAATCGAGTAGCTGTATCAGTTTTCCAAATGCTGTTTTCTAGTGTTTTAATTTCTTAAGGATATGCAAAATGGCTTGAGAGCCATTCAGAAGCAAAATGAGGATTCCAACTTCAAATACCTACAATTTAAGGTATTTTTTTCTTTAACCAATCACAAAAGTAAGGATCAGTTGCAACATTTGGATCTGGATGTGTGTTTAAATCTGCCTTCACTTATCCTTGATGCCTGCAAAAGGGATTAATGGAATTTTGCTTCTTGCAGTAAACTCTGTTTTAGATAAAAGACAGAAATTAATGTGTTACAGTCTGGATGCTCTGCAGTATGCAGTGAAGGGTGTGAAGAATACCTACAATGTATGATCAGTATATAACCAACCTGAAAGAACAGTATGTTTCACAAATTGTTTTTCAATTATTGCACTTAAATCCTTCAAGTTTTAACGCTTGGTGTGAATTTCTTGCTGTGAATGTCCATGATCTAGTTATGACATTAAGAAATTAAATTCTGCCACAGAAGAATAAAAGAAGAATGCAGCTTTTCTTCTTTTCTTCCAATGAACTTTAATGGGAAGGTAACATTTTTTGTCACTGGATTACCTGTAGACTGAGGCATGCCTCAGGGAAGATTGTCAAGCTTATTGAAAATAAGCTGCCAGATAATTTCTTTTGGAGCCTGCAACTTAACCTCATATTGATACTTTCTACTGTGACTTTTGTGGTATTGTCTTCACTTTCCATCTTTGCCTACCTATGTTTTGATGCATGCCATCATGGCACAGATTATGCCAGTACGATATTATAGCCTTGCTACTGGTCAACCCAGTTTGCCCTAATGAAGAAATTCATAAAATATCATAGCATGAATAGATCAAGAAAAGCATGCAAGTAATTCAAGGAGAAGCAGTGGGGGTTGTGTTTGTTTGTTTGTTTGTTTTTGTGTAGTTCTTCTGTTCACATAACATTTTTCCTCACCCCATCTTATTCAAGCAGCATTTTGCTGTAAGGCAAGGTCCAGTCTTTAAGCAGGAGACCTGGGCATTCAGCTAGGAGATCTGTAGTAGAAGCTGCTTCCTGTTCTGGGAATAAAAGTGCTTCAAAAGCACAGAATTGATCTAGATGCTTAATGCACATGTAAACTGTTGAGAGATCTGTAGCTCTCTCCCAAAGGACAAAACTGTAGAAATAACATGGAAACATCACCAAAAATGTAT